GATGCAGATGTATGGGTGCCATAGCGTACCTGCAACATCGTGTTGCAGGTACGCTATGGCTCCAACTTTTTAACAATGCACTTGATTAATCATTGTAAAAATGGTTAGCATTTTTCTTTTTCCCTTTAATACACATAAAATATCCTTTTCAGTGATTGAACATAGACATATTCATGTTTAACACTAATTATGTAGGTTTAGTTCCAGTAATATAATAATTTATTTTCTATATTGTGATTTAGGTTAGTACCCTGCAAGTATTATTTTAAAAGTATAGTACTCCATTTATTACATAGTCTTTCTTACCGCAGCAACTATGCATCTTTCTGTCTCTATCCTTCTGCCCTTAGGTAGTGGCTCATTCCACTATGAAATGTGTTACTCCTTAGAGAAGCTTTTACATCATCGGCTATTGCCAGATTTCTTGCATATATAGTAAAGCCATATGCTGCATGTCATGTAACCATTATTAAGCCTGCAGACATTTCATTATCCTTGTTAAAGGCAGGGATTTATACATTTCCTCATACATGATACTGTAATGTAAGAAAATAGTTTTGTGAATACAGTTTAATGCATACTTTAATAATGTGGACCAAAAAAAATCTATATTATTAAGGGGTAGAAATCTGTACCCCATCATCCTCCCCTTAAATCAAAGAAAAATTCACGCCTGACATTCATACCAGGCATGAATGCACAGTACTGGTTTGGGGTTGAAAATGAATTGAAAGAATCCCAATGAGATTTAGTTATTGTCTCCGCTAAATCATCTACGCACCGCTATTCTCTGGGTGCGTTTCGTTTTCATGACTCTTAGCTGATCTAGAATACTGGTGATGAGGATTTTTTTCTACATTCAGAAGTTGAAAATACCGGGTGAATAAAAAAGCCAGCACAGGTTCTTTGATGTAATTTTATTTTTGATTGACGTCTTCTCACAGCTGTTATTTTGTCAGACCTGAATCTTTTTAAGATTGAATTGCTATTCTAACGCATCCAAAGCAGCCTTGTTGTTTCTAAGTGGGAGACTAAATACGTTTGGACCTCAGTCTCCTACCCACAATCACAGCTTCTTTTCCTTTGGGAGCAATTCTCATTCCAAGCTGCTCTGAAAAGCTGGCAGCCTTAGTTTTGTGTTTTCCAGTCCATATTGTGGTCTCCCTCAAAAACATTTGCAGTGCTATTAAAATCCCCCACTTTTAAAATAATATTTTGAGATTAACATGTTAATTAAATGAATGATTGATTGTAAGGATTTCAGTCCTTAAGTGGCCAGATGTCCTGAAGCTTTCGATGCTAGACTTTAGTGTTTTCAATTCCTGTGCAGATTTTAATTGAATAATGTCAGCAAACAGGTTGCATATAGATATGATTGACACAAATAAAGTATCTGTCACAATTCAGTAACAGAATTAAAGCTTAGTCCCCATATCAAATGGAAATCTGGATTGTATCAAGCAGATCAAATCAGAAATTCCTCTACTGTGCATGACTTTAGAGATGAAGAACTCTGAGGATGATCGTCTAATGTATCCTTCAGGCAGGAGTTATCTTAATCATATTGTGACACTCCTCAGGAGAACTCTGTGTTCATAAATATGTTCCTTAGCAGAACATTTCCAGTATCAATTCCAATGTTGTAGTTATTAATTATTCAATGTGAGAGTGAGAACATAGTAGGAAAAATAATTTTCTAAGCAGGTCTATACAATGCTTAGATATTTTGTTTTACCAATACATTCTAAATATTTTCTGACCATTTTTTCACATGTCGTCATAAGTTTCAGTTCTGCACTTCCCAGGACAACTAATAATTAGGTTTTCATAGGGGAAAAAAATGATACTTTTGGGGTAAATAAAGTTGTACATCACCCTGAGCACACAATCCAAAATTTAAATGTTTTTGTACTGGCAGCATCATCCCCCGGCAATGTATTTTATTTATAACAAGTACCAGTTAATCAGTCATATTTCACATAAAAATGGATGGAGCAGTCCTAGAAGAAAACTTGATGGGGTGGAGCATGGGAGTTGCAATAAGTGTGTGTGACAGGGACGTGCCCCCCTCATGTTTAAAAAAGGCATTTATTTGGACCCCTACACAATATAACACTGTTTGTATTGCTTTGTGAAGGAATCTATTCCACTTGATTGATAAGTGGTATGGATTCCTTAGATAAAGAAAAACCTTGTGTGCTGTTATATCATGAATAAATAAACATACACTAATAATAATAATAATAAAATACATTGACATTAAGGTTTATGAATATTTTTATTTTATGTACAAGTACATCTTTAATTCTTTATTTTTAAATATTTTAGCCATAGACATTTGAGTCATTGTTGGTGGTGGTGGATGAAGATATTTTTGTTTGTTTGTTTTTTCTGGAAAAAGCCAGCCAACCTTCTTCAATTCTTACATCGTAGATTTTTTTGTCTGCATCAAACACTGGTAAAGGCACACCTTAGTGCTTCCAACTGGAGTAATGCCATTATTACACTCTTCCTGGGGTTGCATCTATTTCCTCATATTATGCCTGCAGCATTAGCAGAGCAGAGCACATAGTGCTGGGGGGGAAAGGTGGAAGCCCACAGTGCAACAAAATCTGTAGAGAGGAAGTTATGATGCAAGAAAGCTTTGAACTGTACATAGCATAAGAAAAAAAGAACAATTCTGATGATTTTGAGTTTGAGGTTATTCATTTGGGAGTATGTACAGGAACATTAATCCCACTATAAAGTGGCATATGCACTGCATCGGATTTAGCCATAGGCTAATTTCCACCTGCAGTCCTCAAGGAGGGTAAAACACAAAATGCTTATAAAAATAGAGACAAAATTAAACTGTAACAACATAATTGCAAAGTTAATACTGCACTAATATACACGTTAACCTGCACTGCAGAAACACCTGCCAAATGCACCATTTTAGTGAAAATAACGAGATCCACAACAAATTAAATGTGTTGGCTATAATACTAAATTAACTTCTTTTTGCTTCCGCCATTACTGGTGTATAAAAAAGGTATCTAAAATAAATAAACATCACATAGATTGTACCTGCTGAATTCCCACAGTATGCCATTGTCACTACCGTGTTGTACTGCGAGGATTGTGTATTCAGGGGATATGATGACATTTTGCATGCAATACAGAAAATCTAAATTTAGTCTCACCCCGTCTCTTTCTCCCACATGGCTTGAGACAAACTGGTTCTTTCTATGGCTTTGTCTCAACAATAGCTTTGTTTTTGCCATTCTCTTACAGTACAATGGCCAGATTAATAGTTGTCTTGACAACGCTCTCCAACCTGAGCTATAGATATATGCTGCCTACTTCAGAGTACTTACCAGTCCTGTCAGTTTATCTGGATGACCTCATTGAAGTTGGCTTATAGGTGAGCCAGTTCACTTATTACTTATTGCCTAACCTAACAAACTGTAAAAGAACAGCTTTATTTATGCTGAGATTAAATTACAACCAAACGGACTCTATATTTAGGTGGCCTTTAAAGGGATGTAGCTGCACTGGAGTTTATTCAGGGGTGATATCAAATGTTGATTCCATGTTCCCATCACATTTTTTTTTATTTGTAAGGAAAACTGAAAACTATCCACAGATTTCCTTCCACTTCTCTAAACTGTGCTACTTTCTGTTGGTTCTGCTGGTAGTTAAAGGTCTCAATGTGGCAAAATGTGGAAAGGCTGAGGGGGTTTGAAAAGTTTGTAAGGTGGAAGGGTTGACACTAAATTTAACATCTGAATTGCAGCTTTCAATTTGGCAATTTGGTGGTGAAGGGCTACTTTGCTGTGGTCAAAGAATCTGGATTACCTTTGATCAGCTCTTGTTCAAAACCTAAAATAGTTAAACTGCTCTACCCACCATTCATTTTCTACAATGTCTTAAAATAGCACTTTACTCAAGTGCCAAATTGGAAGCTCAGATAAAAACCTGAATTCACTGTCATGGAAGGGGAGTGATTGGTTTATAGTGAAGTTTTTTTTTTTTTAAAGGGTTAATTTTATCCCAACTAAATATAGGCAAGGTAATGACAAACTGACGATGGCATGACATTCTATCAGTGACAAGTTATGGCCCAGACTGACTGGTCTCATTAGACAGAAAAGTCTGGATAGCATCCTTCATTTTTGCAACTCACATTACTAACAAGCAATTATTTAGTTTTATTAGGAAAACCCCACATCTTTTCAGATTACCAGACAGAAAAAGAACTAAATAAAAGTAGCTTTTTTTCTCAGTGATTCTAGAGTTCCCTCCTGCAGACAGTGGCAGTGGAGTTTTGTAAATTACTGAGGCAAATTGAATATTATAAATAAGTATACATAACGATAGAGAAGTATTCATTTATTTGCTTCTGTATTAGTGCTTAAATTACTGGCAATTAGCCAGATGCCTCAGATTAGCAACTGTTTGGACTGCTGTATGGAAAAACAGCAGTCCAGTCAACTCTGCTGAAAAACAACAAAAAATCTGTAATAAGGAATATGTTGTTATTTATATGAGGTTGTATATATTTTCTTTTACTTTTGGTAAATGTCTGCACAGCATACTTTAGAGTGGAACTTACGCTTTTCTATCACTGTATATTGTCCCACTAAATAGAGTTCTAAATTATGCAATGCTTTTCCTTTTCCACGCAGTGAGATTGTACTAAAAAGCCGTAAAAAGAATGGCATGGAGCCGGCTTTTTTCATGTAGCCCATCTAAGCCTTTCACTCATTATGGCCATATGGGTAAACAAACATGAGTCAGCAAAAGTACAGAGCAGCAGTAAAACGAGCTGCCAGATGAACTGTGGGTTTGAATTGAGAATGTATAGCACTTCAACTTTTTTATAGGTGGGCAATGCTTTCCAAAACACTTTCACGATGAGCCCAATGTGTCACAGATGTAGACAGAATATTTTGGAGTCGGGTAAACGTTTAAACAAACACACATCAGATAGCTTTTTCCTGAACAAGAGAAGATCTTACTTGTGCACTTTTTGAGACCGGACCCTTTCTTCACGGCGTGACGGCTGAGTTTGCATTTGAAGTTGTTCTCCCAGAACTCAGCAAACCAGATATTTCTTCTGTTGTTTTCCAGTGTGCGGCTAATGAAGTACCTGTCAAACCCTGAAAACATCAATGAGTTCGCTGTCATAAGTTCAGCCAATGTAATCAATACAGGTGATACAATCTCAGAGCAAAGGCTAAATGATAACCTGTAGTATAACTGAGTGTGTTTTACAAACCATTATACAGAATATGTGCATATTTCAAATTTATTAACTACTTGTACTCAATTTTTGTTAAACATTTTTTCCATTAAAGCTGCAGTATTTAACTTTTATAAAATAACACACACACACACATATATATATATATATATATATATATATTTTTTTTATATATATATATATATTTTTATATTTATTGAAACTGTCACTATGTCGTGACAGTATAGTATGAGACAGATGGTCTGTGAAAAAGTTTAGCTCCTCTGCCTTCTCCCAGTGCTCCCAGAAACAACCAATGCCAGCCAGGAGGTGGGTCTTAGCGCTGTCAATCACTTCCTCATGTGGCATTGCTCATTCCCCCCCTTCAGCTCCTCCTTTGTTGCCTGATAAGGTGCTGCTGCAGTGTACCAACTTGTCCTGTGCTAGAATTGCTACCCAGACTAACTAGCTCAGGCTAGTTAGTGTAGCCACTGGTGAAAGCAGGTAAACTGTTTTCCTGTTACGATAAGTTGTTTTGCTGCCATTAGAACATTAAGCAACAAGAAATATGGTTGATTGACGGTGCTAAGACAATCCTCCTCGCTCTGATTTGTTGTCTTTTTTTTTTTTTAGGGTAAATTGGGACTAGTGCATTCAAACAATAGTAGCTTAGGGAGGGGGTGGAGGAGATTGATCTTGTCACAGGTTATCTGTCTCATACTGTCACCATATGGTGACGGTTTTAAGAAATGTGTCAAAAAAATAATGTTTTGTTATACACTGCACATGTAAAGCATTAAAAGAAATAGAAACAACCTTGGTTCACATGAGGTGAATATTCCACTAACACCTGCACAGAGTTTTAAAAAGACAAGGACATATGATGCTTGCGCACTGCTCATTTTACCTTTGATGGACTGGCGCTTCGGCAAGATGGTGACTGCTCCCTCTGCCATCTCCTCCTGGTTCTCAACTGGAGCGCTCTTTGAGCCCCAGCTGTCTGAACCCACCCAGATAAAATGACCCGTCTGGTTGGCCTTTTTTGCTGCATGAAGTAGTCGCCTGCGAAGGAGAGGAAACAGATGTTGCCACGGATAAGGTCAGCATCCCAACCTGCTCCGCTTTGATTTTGATTCACAATCCATTACACAGTGGGCCGGTAGACAGGTAGAAACTCCTGTGTCTGCTGTAGTCCTGGTTTTCTTATCTTCAAAGCACTATTACAGTATGTAGCTAATCCAGGCTTTACCTGATATCGTCTTCGTTGGCAAAAAGTATGACGACTCTTGCATTTGTATTTTCTCCAAGTCTTCGCATAATCTTGTCAAACTCTCCTTGCTTTGGCTCTCGGGGAATCTTAACTGACTGTGAGATGCACACACCACCTGAAACAAGAAAAGAACATCTAGTGATGTTATATCACTAAATATATCAAAAATGAAAATCAAAAAAAAAAAAAAAACATTCAGTTTTCAGGAAAAATAAAGTTTGCTACCTTTAGGATTTTGTTTCCTTCAATCACTTGATATATCTTGTGTAACAAAATAAAAGATAAACGGGAAAACAAAAGGGACTCTGTCGAGGTATTTTTTAACAACATGTATATTAAGGCATTGACTCTCAGAGCAAAACACGTTTGAAATGATACTTTGTTTACTCTTTTCAGCCAATTGTAATTGTAATATTAATTTCAATAACAAATCAATAGTTAATGTATCTGGGGCTGCACAGTGGCGCAGTTGGTAGAGCTGTTGCCGTGCAGCAAGAAGGTTCTGGGTTCGATTCCCGGCCCCAGTCTTTCTGCATGGAGTTTGCATGTTCTCCCTGTGCATGTGTGGGTTTTCTCCGGGTACTCCGGTTTCCTCCCACAGTCCAAAAAACATGACTGTTAGGTTAATTGGTCTGTCTAAATTGCCCCTAGGTGTGTGTGCGCATGGTTGTGTGTCTGTGTTGCCCTGCGACAGACTGGCGACCTGTCCAGGGTGTACCCCACCTCTCGCCCGGAACATTAGCTGGAGATAGGCACCAGCACCCCTCCCGACCCCACTGAGGGACAAGGGTGTTCAGAAAATGGATGGATAGTTAATGTATCTATGTGCAAACTTAAGAAACTTTCAATAAAATAAATATTTGTTAGTATTTTTTTGCACAGCTTTTGTATGTTAAATTTGGCGATGTGCACTGGCATTTTCTTAAATCTAGGAATGAAATGCAGATATGCAGAAGGTATCTTCTTTCTGTGAATACTTTGGTTTTTTACTACAGCAGGAGAGTGATGCTGTTGCCCAACACAAAAGTCTCACATTTTGTGCAATGTGAGACTTTGCACAAAATAACTAAAAGAGCAGCTTTGTAATGCAAAGTTAAAAAAATTTGCATGTTCAGACAAAAATGGGACACTCCAATTTCCCTGCAAAAGCAAAACTCTTCAAAAGCAACTACCTGAAATTACAGTATTCTTGTGCTTATTATCATTTTAGGCAGGCACTACTTTATTGCCATGGCAGCAGTCACAGGAACTGACCAGTGTGACTAGAAGGACAGGACGTAATCAATGGACAACAAATTAATTAGTCACACTTTTCTCACGGTTGGCTCTGTCTGGTGTTTATCCACCACCTACACACGTCTAGATGCAAGTCTCCCACACAGAAATAAATAGAATGGATTAAACTGAAAACCGCCTGCCTCAGTTTGGCTTTAAATGGTCAAAAGTTACTTACGTTTAGGTTTCATGGACACCAAAAACAACATTTTGCTATAAAGGTGGTATTCAAAATTTCATTTGTAGAGAAATAAAACTTTACATCTCCCCAAAAAAAAAAAAAAAAATTACATACAAATTAAATTACAACATACTGTTTATGCAGTTGTGTCATAGCAAGAGGGAAGTAACTGTTACATAATTTATTAAAATTTTTCAAGGGAATTTATAATCATGATGGTATCAATAAAATTGATCCTTGGATAAAAGGTTAATCAAATCCATCTTAGGTTCTTTGATGTTGATGTGTCAAAAATGTACCATCCTTTTTTAGTGATGTTAAACGTCATGTTTTCAGTTAAATTTTATACAAACCAATTTTGTATCGTAATTTTATCAATAATGTTGAACCAGTAAAGTTCTCTTAAAGGCTGAAAACAGAACAGAGAGTTGAACTTCTGAATCTGAGGTTTGTCTAAGCATTTCTAACAGTTGTGCTCGACATGTTCAATTCAGCTCATCATGTAGCCTGAAGGCCTTCTTTTAAGCTGCATAAATTAGTGCACATGCAACCACAGATGTTCATTTTGCTTCCTGTAAAAATCATTTGGACAAAATTGTTGTAAAGACAAGGAAAGCTAGAGCAGTGTCATATGGTTCACAATAATCAAAAAGCTTTGTTTTGTTTTTTTAATTAGTGACGCTGGTTTTCATTTCATCCACAAAAGAAGAGGAAAGTTGGGAAAGAAGAGAAAACTTATTCATGACAGCAGTGTGTTCAAACTAAGTTCTCGAAGTTTTTCAGGATGCTTACTTTTTTAGAAAAACTCCACAGGTCCAATAAAATCAATCAATCAAATTTTATTTGTATAGCACATTTCAGCAGCAAGGCATTTCAAGGTGCTTTACATGGTTAAAAAACAAAATAAAACCAAAACATTGAATAAACAGAAAGAGAAAGAGATTTTGGAAAAAGAAAAAAAGAAAGATTTAAAAAAAAAAAGATAAAAACATACTTTTGTTACGGAATTTAAGCGCCTGTCGTTGCCGGACTCCACCGGACCGGAGAGTCCGACCCAACTCTCCAGTCGATTCAGTAAAATGTCGTGGTCAGCAGTGTCACAAGCTGCACTGAGGTCCAACAGAACCAGCACTGTGGTTCTCCCACAGTCTGTATTCATATGGATATCATTGAACACTTTGACTAGGCCGTCTCCGTGCTGTGGTGAGCACAAAAACCAGACTGGAAAGAGTCAAAGCGATTCATTATTGTTAGGAAGTTAGTTAATTGTTTAAAAACTGCTTTTTCAATAACTTTGCTGATGAATGGGAGGTTGGAGATCCGCCTGTAATTCTGCAGTAGTGATTTGTCTAGATTGTTCTTTTTTATCAGTGGTTTGATAAAAGCTGTTTTCAAAGCCTGGGGGAAAACGCCTGAAGATAGCGATGAGGTTACTATTTGGATCAGATCATTAGCAACAACAGGCAAAACTTTCTTAAAGAAAAGAGGACTTTTATTTCATTCTGAAAATTGAGCAGTAAATTCTAGCTTTGCACCAACCAAATAAAAAAAAAACAAAATGAAAACTCTGAGCCCTATAGTTACATACTGTATGAACATCTTGTGGTACGATAGTACATACTGCAAGTCAAGGATCTTTTACAAGTGTTTTAAAATGAGTTAAGATAATTAAACAGATTTTTTAATTTACAACACTTTGATGAAACAGCAATGCTTAAAGCTGCAGTATATAACTTTGATAAACATGTTTTTTTTATGTATTTGTTAAAACTGTCATTAAGTCATGACAGTATGAAACAGATAATGTGTGAAAAAGATTAGGCTCCTCTGCCTTCTCCCCATCTGCTTTTATACACCGCTTAGTCAGAAACAAGCTGTTGGAACCAAAAGGAGGGTCTTAGTGCTGTCAATCATCCTTGTCTAGGCCCTGCTCACACCTTTTCTCTTATTGTGCATAGCTAGTTCCCCACAGCAGAGCCTGCATGCTCGGATGAGTTAGCATACGCCCCAATGACAACGGATAAACACTTTTTTCTGTAACGGTAAGTTGTTTTCCTGCCTTTAGCACAATGGTTGACAGCACTAAGACCCTCCTCCTGGCTCTGATTGGTTGTTTCTCACTGGGAGTGGCATATTTCTGCAAATGGCAGCAGGACCACAGGGAGGAGGCAAAGGACATAGAATTTTTTTGCAGACTTTGTGTCATGGTATACTGTGAATGAAACATGGTGAAAGTTTTAACTAATATGCTAAAAACATTATTTATAAAATATACATACTGCAGCTTTACACAAACTGTCAAAAATCACTAAACTGTTAAGAAATTTGAACGACATTCTCATTTTTAAGTTTCAACAAAAGGTTGCACAGTCTGTAATAATAAGTCGCTTTCTTTAAGCTTGAGCTCATTATTTGGATATGTGGCTTTCTGCTCGGTGATGTTCGTGTGTCCTGACTGCAGTCATGAGAACCTTTCATCCTCGGGGATGTGCCTGTGATGACCCACTTGTCCTGTTGACTCAAATAGTCTCTACTATCAGCCATTTTAGGTGTTTACTTAAATGGGTGGGTTTCGATAAGTGGAAATCATTCAAAGCGAGCGTCAGCCTCCAGTTCCTCACATGTCACCATAGATGGCTATCCTGACTTTATCTCTACCATGTCCTTCTCTTCCTTGGAATTAATGGAAACCAATAGACAAATACCTGCAGCAGTACGAGGCCCAGCACAGTGAGGGTGGCTGTCTTTGTGAGAAAGGACGAGCCATCTTATCTCTAACCTCTTTGTTTTTACACATATCTATACAACGTGCTGCCTTCTGGATAGAATAAAATATGCAGAGGGAGATGAATATGAGAGCAAGACAAATGCATAAATGGCAACTGAACTTCGGAATACCAGCAAACAGCAAATGTTTCATTTCTGTCCGTTTGAAGTATGTGAACAGAAACAGAAAATATGTCTTTGCAGCTAAGGAGGAGGCAATTCATCTATAAACGGATCCAACAGAAAATATGTGAAAAGACATACATTTCACATCATTTAATGACAGATCAACTGTTCAAAAATGTCCCAAATCTACAAAAACTGAAATCACACATTTTGGCCTGAAGTTGCCAACACTTTTTCTGCATTATGAGACGTTTGTCGTATCGCCTTTCCTCTCAGCTTGTATACCCCCAATCACATAAACTTGAATAAAGCTTCACAATCAAAGCCAGCAGTATAATAATATAATTAGGCCTTTCCAACATAATGTAGCTGAAAATGCTTTGGTTAAGTTTGCTCCCTGATTTCCATTACTTATATCTCTTCTGAGCAATCCTTTGGTTGGAAATTGTTTTTCTATTTTCAAGGCCTCTTGGTCACAATTGCGTTGCAGCTGCTCTACAAAAGTTGTAAAACACCTTTTCACTGCTCAGGCACAACAAAATGCCACCATTTAGGGCAATTATGTGGGAAACGCAAGCAAAAAAAATAACAGACCATCTTTTTCGAGGGTTTGGTATATTTGATCAGATTTTTTGTTAGACATTTAATGCCTTGTGTGTTTCATCCAATTTGAGAGATATCAGCTCAGCAGTCAAGCAGTCGACCTACAAATCCACTGTAATGTACTGGAGCAGTACATTAATAAATGTGAAAATTAGGGCTGTTTT